AATATAAAACTAAATTCTTGACACAAGTATGAAATGTAAGGAATCTAATCATATTGCATTGGTAAACTCTTGGCTTCACTGAACATTACTATATTTTTAAATGAACCTTGATATCATTGATAACACCATTTTCTTCCCTAGTTTCCAAGTACTGAAAATTCTTCTAAACGTGATTATAAAAGCTTTTCTGACTGAAAGAGCTATACCCTTCTTTCTTTTAAATACTAATAATGTTGTAATTCATCAATTGTCCTCAGACTGATTAAATCATAATAACTATATCAACCTTGGTGGCTGGCTTTTCACTTTTTTGTCCATTTCACTGTTGATTCTGTACTTCTGATAAATCTATGAAATAATATTTTTTTTAAGAAAAACAACTACTACTCTCAAATATTCTGTGGTGTAAAGCATAAATAGAGAAGATGAAAAATTTATAATCTCTCTTTACCTGAAGATGACCATATTCTTCATAGGAAAAAAATTCATCTCCTGTGTGCACATTGAAAACAGAGTGAAGACATGTTGTGGGGCGTGGATCCTGTTTAAACTGCTGTACCTACAATGAAATTGTAAATTCAAATAATTATAATAATTCACATATTCACTCAAAATTTTGATTGCATGGAATTTATAATGAAATTGTTTCATCGGGAAAACTATAGTTTATGGACAATGAGTGGTGACAAGCAGAACTACTACTTTATCTAAAGAAATAGAACCAAAGGCAGACAGTTCAGCTGCTCTATCAGAGAAAGATGAAATCTCCTCCTACGTTATTTACAGCCTCTGAGAAGCTGCTGCACTGTCAGCTATCAGTCACTTCTAACTTGACCACACACAACAAATAGTAAAGAAACATGACACAGACAAAGTTCATTACTATTGTAAAAATAGTGTGACAAGTACTGGGGGGAGCAGTATCTGACTTTCTCTAATTACACAACTACAAGTGGAAATTCTACACAATATCATTAACAGCACAGAGCTTATTTCTAAGATGTAGGATGTCTCTCCACACTCCACATCTTCTATCAATTCTGACACTAATCTGCTCTCAATGTCCTCACTATTTCTCTATCAGATTCAATAATTAGTTATAATGTTCATACAGAACTCACAGAGAATAATCTGAAGTTTGTTTGAGATTTACTGGGGTATAATTGAGGCACAGAAACACTGAGGATACAACCTCTTTCTTTGCAACTATGCTTGCAAGCAGGCTTCTCTCTCTCAATCTCATGGTGTTGACCAGCCCTGTTTGGGCAACTGTTACATAGCTCCTTTAGTTCTGCCAGTGACATGCTGCATCCTTTCTGCTTATAAGCCTACATCTGAAGATGCTTGACCTAACTCTCTGGATCAATGGACCAGGCTGCCACAAGTGCTCAAAAGAACCCACTTCACTAGCAAGCACTGTATTAAACTAGGTTCTGATTCCTGGCCACCTCCGATGCTACCACCTCAGCCACAGTCTTTCCCTCTTGCTATCTCTCTCCTAACACAGCTCTCCCTCTCTGGTTCAAACTGAGATTTCAGGCCCAAAGGATGTGCTATACAGTTTGGTTCTTCCTCATTGTTTTTGTTGTTGTTGTTGCTGTAATATACTGATACATCGCCTGAACTCATAGCAACCCCATGTACAACAGCCCTAAACCCTGCTCTATCCTTTGCCAATCTCACTGTCTCTGACACACCTACCCTGATTACCCTGGTCACTGAATCAATCCATCTCATCAAGGGTCTTCCTTATTGTTTTTAATTTTATTTTTTAACATTCTCTTTTTATAATTATTATTATTAGTAAATTATTATTTATTTTAATGGAAATTTACAGAGATTTTGGATTTCCATTCATTCACTGTTGCACTTTTCTCTCTGCCCACCCCTCCCCTCCAGTTCATTCTTCTCTTTGAAAAGTTTTTAAAACAAAAATTCTTAGAGAACTCTGGTGGCCTAGTGGCAAGAAGCTACACTGCAATCCCAGAGGTGCACGGTTCAAATCCGCCAGATGCTTGACTGGAGAAAGAGGGACAATCTCCTCCTGTACCTGTCAGATCTGATGTGATGGTACATGCACAAAAAAAAACCAATAAAATAAAAATAAAATTTAAAAAAAGGTAAAATTATTTAAAAAAAAAAAAAAAGAAAAATTCTTTCACTGTTCTACAATCCCTCCCCCAAGTCCACTCCACTATGCAGCCTTCATTCTGGACTCCTGTCATGACAATACTATCTAATCATATAACCTTTTTAAACAGTTCTCTCCTGCATCTGTTTCAATGCAGTACACATAATTTATCCCATCTTTCTCAGTCTCACCCCAACCCCGACACCATGCAGTATTTGTCCTTCTGTGTCTGATATAGTTCACTCATCATTATGTCCTCCAGCGTCACCCATTTTGAATAATATTTCATGAGTTCTTTGTTTTTCAATGCAGCATAGTACTCCAAGGGTTCTAAATTGTGATATTCCCCTTTACAAACTCTGGGCCACCTCAATTTAAAGCTAGCAGGATGGGAAAACTGACAAAGTCCACATTAGTATTCTAAAGATCTTTTCTGCATGGGCCTATCCAAGAGGTGCCATTTACTTTATTCACATTATTAGTAAGCTATCCAGTTCCTTCGTTGTTTTGTGTGCCATGGAGTCAGAACCAAACACAGCTGACCCTCCAGCAGATTTACTGCCAGTAGAGGTAGTAAATTGCAAGAAAGGAGTATACACATACTTGTGTAGAGCAGCTGGTGGATTCAAACTCTGTGCCACTGGGATTACAGTGCAGCTTCTTAGCAGTAGGCTACCAGAGCTTCAATGCCCTTTGTTTTTGTTGTTAGGTACAATCAAATTAAGTACTACTCACAGCGATCCTGTGAACAACAGATCTGAATCCTGTTCTATCCAGTGTCATCCTCACAATCTGACACACTCAAGCCCACTGCTGCAGTCACTGTGCCAACCTACCTCATTGAAAGTCTTCCTCTCTGTCATCATTACTTCAGCTTCCCAAGCATGAGGTCCCTTTCCAAGGAATAACCTCTCCTAGCAAACATACCCAAAGTATGTAAGACAAAGCTTCATCATCTTTGCCTCCAAGAAGCACTCTGGCTGCAACTCCTCCAAGACATATTTGTTTATTCTTTTGGGATTATGTGGGATATTCAGCACTTTTCTTCGAAACAGCTCAAAGGCATCAGGTCTTCTGTCATCCTCAGTCATTGTTCAGCTCTCTGATGCACAGCAAGTAATTACGAAGACCATGGCCTGGATCAGGCATACCTTAGACACAGAAGTTGTTAAATTTGCCCCATGTTGGGAATTCTGAATTGTCATGTTTATAGAGTTTTCAGAGTCCTTGTTACCAGCAGTCAGGATATCAGGAGACATACTGCACTGGGAAAGTGTGCAGTCAGTGACCTCTCCAAATTATTGAGGAACAATGATGTCAAACTGAGGACTAATGTGCATATGATTCAGGTCTTTCTGATCTCTTGCACTGCATCTGAGAGCTGGACAATGAATAAGGATGGTAGAAGAAGAATTAATGCCTTTTCAGCTGTGGTGCTGGAGAAGAATATTGAATATTCCATGGACTGCCAAAAGAACAAACAAATATGTCTTGGATGAAGTGTAGCCAGAGTGTTTCTTTGAGGCAAATAAGATAAAGCTTCATCTCACATATTTTGGGCATGGTGCTAGGAGAAGATTTTCCTTGGAGAGGGACATCACGCTGGGAAAAGTGGAAGGTCAGTGAAAGAGAAAAAGATCCTCAACCAGGTAGACTGACATAGTGACTGCCACAGTGGGTTCTTCTTTCTTTTTTTTTCCTTTTAAGATTTTAATGAAAGGTTATAAAGAACTTGGATTTCCATTCATTCATTGTTGCACAATTTCCTGCCTGTCCTCCTCTCACCCTTCCCCCAAGTTTGCTTTTTCTTTGCAAAAAAGTTCTTTCATTGTTATACTGTCCCACTACCCCACCACCCCACCCCTGAACCACTCTACTATGCAACACAAAGGGTTCTTCTGTATCAGAAAATGATGTTGGTACAGGATAGGACAGGGTTCAGATCTCTTGTTCACTGAGTCACTATGGGTTGCACTCAACGTGACAGCACCTAACAACCACCACCCAGTCACGTGATGAAAGTACAGTGTCTTAGAAGACTGACAACTAATGGACTAAAACCAAGGACTATAAACTTCATTACAGAAAAGCTAGGAACA